CCCTTATTCTTTCGACAACGAAGCCATCAGTGTACCCAACCGCTACACTGACGGAATCCGAAATAAAATTTCAACAGCCCAAAAGCCCAACAGCCGAACAGCCCAACAGCCCAGCAACCCAACAACCCAACAACCCATCAACGAAGCACTCATTTCGCTCATTAAAATATAATATGTATTTTTTAATTTAACTGAAATGTTTGCACAAAAATTTTCCCGAAACAAAGTGTGCCCCAAAAATGAAAATATGGAAAAAATCAAAAACAAAAAAAAAATTTAAAAAAATAAAAAAAAGCGTTAGTGAAAAATTTATTCATCTCATGTTGAATCCTTTGCTATGCGCTTTCAAAGTGCCCAAATCCTTTTTTTCTCTGTATATTATTCGTTTATATGCCGTACAGTTTTTATGCGTTTTCCTGTTTCCGGAAGCGTTCATGAGAAAGTTTCCGCTTTTATAACCGAATTTTAATTAACTTTCGAAAACCTAATTACAAAGTATTATTATAATGAAAAGCGGTGCTGCACTATACAAAATCAACGCTAACCCATCCCCTGTCACTTGGTTACGTACCTACCCAGATCAAAAGCGAAAAATACTGACATTACTACCCAGCCAACAATATGTTTGAAACAATTCGACTCTAAGCACCAGCAAAATCCCCAACAAAACCACCACCGGATGCGACACACCGCGCCATTACTTCACACAGCGAATGGGTGTGCGACGGGATGATATGGTTAGAAAACGGGGTACCTAGCACTTCAATGTAGTACTGACTTAGTGTGTATTCGCGCCTGTGTTAGTTATACGTCGCTGGCACTGGCACTGGCACTGGCACTGGCGCTAGTGCTGGTACTGGGTGCTGGTGCTGTGCTATCAGATAGATCCATGCATTTGTGCATGTGTGCGTACATGGCCGCGCTGCTGAAGCTCGGGTTAAAATTAAATATTCCATTAGAAAATTACTACAAGATTGTGGTTTGCTGAGGAGCAGTTCAACATTTCAACATTTCAGTGGTAATTGGCTCCATGATAACACTGAAAATATTAAAAGCGAAAAGTTCTGAAAAAAAGGTTTATGGAAGTAAAAAATTAAATATGTTTTATTTAACTATTTTATTCTTTACATATATACTATAAGAGGAAGAAATATAAGACAAGACTGTCATAGAAGTTTTTATGAAGTGTATAAAATTTTCATGCGTAAATGTTGAAAACGTAAAAAAATCCTTGAAAGAAGTATGTAGTTGATTACATAAACATTGTTATATATTACAGATGCATTCCAAGTTGGTAAGATCCAAAACAGACCTCACCAACAATGGTTAAGGGAATTGTGCATTCATAAGTAAATGCAATTTTACTATAAAGTAAGTAACTAACAATCGCCAATGTCATAGGTTTTCTATTCGCATTTGGGCAGGATTTTTAAATCTTCATTGAAGATTCTACACAAAATTTTTCCAACAGTTCACCAGAATAGTGTAGAAACGTTATACTAAGTTCATCAAGATGCTAGCAACGCAAGCAAGGAATATTTAAGATTCCAAATATTTGATAAAATATATATATATTTGAGAGCCGCAATCAGTTCAATTGATCTATTCTTTTCATTCTCTGTATTTAGAATCATATCCTTGGTTGTTTATCGATTTAACTAATTATCCGTGATTGTGTTTATCTGTCAGTCAAGTTGATCCAAGGCTAATCCAGCTTTCAGTTTTCGACTTACTCGGTTTTCATTTGGATTGATTTGTTGTTGTTGTTCATGTATTTGTTGTTTTCTAACTGATATAAGGAAAGTAAAAAAATGGAACATATCTTCGTTTGCTCAGAGATTTTCATTTCCCATATTCAATCGCATTATGATGGCATTTTTATAATATTTACAGTTAATATGTGTCTAGTCGCTATATGGTTCTTTATACCAATATATTTTTATGAATCTACCATAAGAAGTGTTAGGAATCTGTAATTTGAAATCCGAAATGTGTATTTAAAAGATAAATGTTTTAACTTTAGTAAAAATATGAATGTGTGAAAATGGAACTTACATACATAGTATATCTAATACATATATTCTATATAAAAACTATTCAGAACCTATATTTTATTTAGAAACAATGTATTCAAAACTATATTTAAAAGAACCCGTGTTAAAAATACCGTGTGTAACAAGAATTTTTGGGCAAAAATTTTAAGGAATGAGAACGCTCACCTACCTTTCTCATTTAACGTGGCAATTTATGGGTTGATTCTGCTCCCAAAAATAAAATTACTTTTTCCAAGAAATCGTTTTGACTTGATTGACAACAAAAAACAAAAATCACTGAGTGCATTTAAGACCCTCACTAAGCCTATGAAATATTTATGAAGGATTGGATTCATTGTTGGCATAATTGTTCGCACTCGTTGGAACCTACTTTAAAGACAACACTCCAACTGCAATAATAGTAATATAAATAAACAATAACATTCAATTGATGTATAATTATTTTGAGTTTTATTTAATTATTTTGGATAATTTAAACACTGAAAGAATTTACTGCTTCGTATGCTTCTCTTGAACTGCTAATTGTGCTATAAAACCTAGAACAGTGCAATATATATGCCGACTTGATCTTCATAGTTGTCCAAAATCTAGATACACTTTTGCGTGTGAATAGCTCAGAAGATGAATATGGTTTGGCAGAGATATTTTTTTCAGAAGGGGCTTGAATATTTAACTTAATCGGCAGCCTAATTCTATTAGTTACATTTCCAGCTGTCATAAAATGAAAACAATCTTAAAACATTTTTTTTTTTTATTTATAAAACAAATGTTTTGAGATTAAGTATATGATAACTATAAATGAAATTCAATATATATAGACTTTAATTTTGCATATAAGTGATGACTCAGATAAGCATAAACTTATGTAGAAAAACCCAATGCAGTTATATATTTTATTATATGTGCATAATAATTATATTATATATTTATATTACATATCTCCACAAAAATTTAAGCAAATTGGATAATATATAATATCAATATAGTGCAATAATGTCACTCAAATAATTTTTTTGCAAAAACAGCATAAAATCTGAGCGCTTAGTCAGTTCAGTCCATTGTACCCAAGGATAAAAGTGAAAAAACTTAAAACCAAGAAGAAGCGGCAAAAAATAGAGAATGTGTCAAATAGAAGAACAAGCCCTTTTTCGCCCTTACTCCCCATTTTGAATTTAAGAAAATCAGATAGGAAGAAAGAGATAGTTTTATTATTGTTCATGCACAGAGAGTCAGACTGCAAAAATCTTAATTTAGTTCTAGCAAAACCTGGGTGAAGTGCTTTGTGTTACATCCTCTAGATAAGATTTGATTGTGTGTTCTCACGTAACCTACAGTAGCCAATAGTGACGTCCACTTTTTGTTGACTCCGATCAGTACTCTTAAATCCTTTCTCTTTAATTGCATAAAAAATTTCGCTAGTCATAACTAGCAAACCCAGCTAATGAAATTAATAAAAAACTTAAAGATTTATTATTATACATAATATTAAAATGGACAAACAACAAAATAATGTTTATGCAAGTATTCTTACAGAACTTAAAAAATGCCAAATTAATATTAAATTTAATAAAAACAAAGTCGATTTAAATAAAATAAACATGTCTAACCTCAATCGGGTTTTGCTAACGACAACCCACCTACCTTTAAACTCTTCTAAGTAAGTAATTCGCATGGTTGAGTTGAATTTCGTTATCATTTTTATGGAAGATAACGACATACATTAAACGTCATTGGACGTCGCTAGCCTCGATACAGTAAACAAATTAATTGTAGTCTGAACTACACAGATTTAATTAAAATATAAAATTTCGTCAATTAAAATTTCTTCGGAATTTTATTTTTCTATCTTCGTATACAACACAGTACTAGCATACGAACGATTGAAATATATTGAATAGTTTCTAGTATATAATATCTGGATCGAACATCTATAGTTCTAAATGCGTTAAGGAATAAATAAACAAATAATAAAGAACAGCCTCATTTTAAACTAATTTATTAGGGGTTTCCATTATCTTATTTGGGACGTAGTTCTAATCTTATGACGGAATAGAAAATTCATGTGACATTTACTGACATTCGCATATATCTATATCTAGTACAGTAGCAAAAAGCATATTGAACCTTATAAACTACTAATTTATACTCGATTTTCTCAGGAAATATTGTCATATTTTCTGAAGAAATATTCTTGTTAATAAGAGAAGTGAGAAGTCAATTTTGTATTTTTTCATAAATGCTGATTAAAGATATAAAGAGGCTCTTGCCATAAATAAATCTAGAAAGTGAATTGAATAAAGCCGAATTGTTTATTTGGTAAATATTGTCTATGCTAATTTACTTGTAAACGACAATTATTATTATATTTGCTAGGAAAAACCTATTCAGTCTCCAGTTCTGTGACTAATTATTACTAGAATTTAGAAAAACAGTATTGACAATATTTTTTCACTTTGATAAAATAAACATGTGGGATCGTTTGTCTAATTTAAATGACAATTTTGAATTATACAATATCTCCTTCCACATTGAAGGCGATATACTTTAATATATTTCTAATCAGCAGGAATAATTTTTCAAAATTTGAAGTCTTTGTTCATGTATGTGTATTTTCCTATTTGACTATTATTTCATCTGTTTGTTTATTTGGCTATCTATTAATATATCAGGATCTGTACCTGTTGATCTGTTTTTCTGTCAACTTTTAACATATGTCTCTCTGGTTGTCTAGACTTTTTCTCTGGTTGTCTAAGCTAGACTTTTTGCTTGTCTCTGTTTTAGTATGTAAGTTTAATTTACTATTCTTCAACAATTATTGTGATAAGGTCTTGATAGA